GCCAGGTTCTGTGTGGGCAGACATGATGGAGCACAGGCTCAGAACATGCTGAGGTACTGGTTGCTGTGGTGAATACGGTGTTAGACACATTTCTGCTAATGCTAACAGCAGAGCTAATTTTTCGCTCTGCGCTTGTTTGGCGCACTTAGCTTTCCCTTAACTGTAAAACACAGAGAGCAAGAACAACATATGAATATAAGTATAATATTTAAGGTGTTATAGAAATGTAAATTATGTCAAAACAAAATTTACATAATTTATTAGTTTATTGTCCTTAAGAATTTTAATTGAAGTTAGCATTTTAGCATTAGCTTCCTCTAAATAGGTATTGGAATAGCTATTTAGCATTAGCATCTGCTAAATATGTTTGTTTTGTGTATCTCTTTTGCATTAGCGGAACTAATGTTCATTGTGTTTGGACATTAGCCTGCCTAGCTAACGTTTTAGCTAGCAGTGCTTACCGCTGAGGAGACACGACGGTTCAGGAGAACTTCCTGTCGGCATAAATGAGTGAATGAGAGGATAAACTTAGTTTCTACATTCTGGATGAAGTTTCTAGAAAACCGTTAGACCTGCTGTGACTCTGATCTGCAGGATTTATGATGTTTCTAAATGAAAACTGGATCATCAGTTCGGTGGCTGCAGCTTTCAGACATATTTTAATTTTAATATGATGAGAGATTTAACCGGAAGGGTCTGTGTTATTCTACAGGTTGGGTGAATCCCGCCCTTTCGGGGTTTTTCCCCATCGCCATGCGGAGCCGGACGCGTGACGCCATCCTCCGGTGAGCCGCATGCTCTGCAGCCGGACTGCAGCTGCGCAGAGAGTGAGAGAGAGCCGCAGAAACAGCAGCCTCCGGTGCAGACACACACACACACACACACACGCACACACACACACTGAGAGAGAGGAAGGTGAGGCTGAGCTTTCCCTGGATCGGACCCGCAGAACCCGCAGGACCCGCAGGAGGGGATCCTTCCTCCACCCGCAGCTCTGCGTCAAAAGTAAGCTTCGTGCGGTGATCGCCCCGCAGCGCAGGGACAGAGGTAACCATGATGATGATGATGATGATGCGTGTCAGTAAAACAGCCGCAGCGGTTCTCCGCACCGATGCGGGATGCCGTCCAGCTTCACGCGTGAAGCTCTGCATGCTGCATGAGAGGCGATGACGTAGGGAATTCCCACAGTAACCCCGCACAGTCCCCGCACGTCCCGCACAGGCGGAGCCGGACGGCGTTGTTATGTAAGGCGGATTCTGCTGACATGGTTCGGTTCGGTTCGGCCTCCACCTGGGGGCCGGGGGGCTGGCCTGTGATTGGTCGTCAATCAGCTTCAAATCGATCTGCAGTCAGATCAGTTTGCGGTAAAAGACACTGATGATGATGATGAGGCCTTCATCCTGTTTTCTTTGTTTTCTTTTAAAATCTTTGATCAAAGTTGAAGAAAACTAAAGATGCAAACGCAGCATTTCAGATCTGCAGCTTCCTCTGGATCAGACCTTCATCCTCATCCTCAGCTCGGCTCGTTTTACATCACAGATTCATAAAAATATGTTTTATTTCCCCACAGACAAACATGGCTGGTCCAGAGGAGCTGCAGGGTTGTTTAAAAACGGAGAAAAAGGATTTAAAGACATAATATTTACCATAACAGGCAATTAAATAAAATCTGTTCAGCAAAAACCAGCAGAAATATTTAAAATGTTTAAAACCAGCAAGGTGTGAAAATGTATTGTTGTTTTTGGATCCAGATCTCCAGATCAATCAGCGTTAGACAAAAAATAGATATTTGATAAAATATCTACTACAATAAATATTATTATTAAAGAACTAACATTTTTATTTTTTAGTTTATTTAAAATCTGAATAAAAGTTGAGTTGCACCAGATTTAGCTGAAGCTAGTTTCCTTTGGGCGAGTTCATTAAACAGATTAATATCATAAAACTTACATTGAAACTATGTTTCATTGCATGAGGTCATAAAATTATAACAATATAAATAAATAGAACTAAATGTCAAACTTTTACTTTGTAATCACTAATATCCAGCTTACAGTTTAAAAGTTTTAAACATTAATTTAGTGAAAAATAAATTTTTCTTCTGAATGCTTTAATATTTGAGGAAAATTTTGTTACATTTTCAACTAATGACGGAAATAATATATAAAATATGTTATTGTTTCTTTTTGTGGAAAATACTGAACAGTAAGGGCAACATTTCAACATAAATACAGTGTCGTTATAAAACACTGCAGCATTTACAAAATCAGCATTAATAAATGTCATGCAATTAATGTCAATAAAATCAAACTTTGTGCATTAAAAGGAAATCTGCAGATTTTTGTTTCTGAAACATTTTCAGTTTTTTCTTCATCCAGTGACTCAGAGGAGAAACGGCCCAGACATTTTACTCAGGTGGACGTAACCGACAGTCTGTCAGAAGGGAAACGATCATTTTATGATCAATGAATGAATGATGTGCAGCCCGGTACGGAGAGACAAAAGAGCAATAATCAGTCTGGAATCCTCATTAAGTCATCAAATAAAGAGATAAAAACGTCCTCTAATGAACCCACATGGAGGTCAAAGGTCAGCCAGCAGTACAAACTTTTTGACAAAATCCTTCAGTTAAAACACAAGGCGAAACAAAATTTATAAATATTTAAAAAATGTTTTGTCTTTTTTATTGTATCTGCTCGATAATAAAGTGAAAACTGATTTTTCTTTTGTAGAAAACTGATCAGGACAGGTCTGGGTTCTACCGGTTTGGATGATTTATTATTTGGGTTTTAGAGTAAAAGCAGGTCAGAGTTTGAGCTGCTTTCATTCAGATGAAAAACCAAAAACTTTATTTTTTGCACCTTATACTTTTTGAAGAACATATAATTTTTCTGTAAGATAAATTGGTAAATCTGTTCTGCTAGTGGACAGATTCGCTCTGTTCCAGAACTCGGGTCGGAGCCAGAAATGGCCCCCGCACCGCCCTTTGGACCCCCTACAGCGTGTTTTGGATCCATAAGGTTCAGAACCACAGAAACCGGACCTGTTCCTCTGACGACCCCTCTCTGGGAGGCTGGAGGCGGTTTCCCTGGAAACGGGTCGGTAATCCGGGTCAGTTCGGACAGGAGGCAGGATTACAGCGCAGAACCTCTGTACCCGTTCGCACCGATCTCCACCTGCAGGCCGGTCCGGTCTGCTCCCCGCATCCCGCCCAGCATCGGTGGAGCCATTACGTAACCATGGCAACGTCACAGCAGCTGGTTTCTGGGAGGAGACCCAGAATCAGACCGGGTCGGCCACGTGAGCCGGATTTACAGCGCCCTGCATCTGGATGGAGGTTTATTCTCCCGTAAATCCCTGTCTGAGGTTTCACTGTGTGTGTGTGTGTGTGTGTGTGTGTGTGTGTGT